CCAAACATCGACGATCAGGGCGAAATATGCTTAAATCTGTTCAGTGAATGGGCCGAAACCAATACTCTGGAGGACTGTGTTCAGGGATTGCTGTTTTTACTGTACAATCCAAATCTAGGGGACCCGTTAAATCCTCTCTTCGATCCGGAATACGACACCGATTTTGAAGTGTTCGCTGAGAACGTACGATTGTCTTTATTGGGAGGTTCTATCGAGGGGTGCGACTTTGAGAGAAATCTGGTGCTTGAAGGAAGCAGCATTGGCGAGAAATCAACTGGTGATCAAGTTCAGGAAGACCTGCAAGCCACGGAAGGTGAAGAAGCGGTTTAGAATGTTGATGATGAGGAATTAATCGAGATCCAAGTGGTGGATGATGAAATCGATTCAAGCGAAGAGGTACCTTCGCCACCTAACACCTGCGGCACAGATCACGCAACTGAATGTCATACCGATTTAAATGTAACCAAGAAATCGGAGGAGACAACTGACTGTATTTCAGGAAAAATCAATCTACACAGAACTGAAGAGGAACTTGTTGTTTCAGTAGAGGTCGAACCACGTTGAAGAAAAGGGATAACAAAAAATTAAACTTTTCCGACTTTAGCGCATGTAAATGTTGTAGTGTACTTATGTCTTGGAAATCGTCAATGATATGGTTGCAAAAGTTTCACTCAAGAATGTCGGAGATGTCGATGCGATTGTATCGGCTCCTGGTGTTTCCATGACAACGTATATGCGGTTGTGTCGCCGAATACTTGGCCAAGATATGCTGTTTTGTAAACAAGTATGTTAGAAATTTACTTTCAGTAACTTTTACGTCAGCTGTCTTGTACAAAACATTCATGTGCTCCTGGTAATTTTATATTTTGAGGTAAAGCTTTAGTAATAAAGAAAAAAACTAGTAGATAGTGTCCTTCAGAGTGTTTTTTAAAGATTGTGTAAGAAGTAGTGGTCTGGTTTTACAGAGTCTGCGGGAACACAATGCTGGCATTTTGGCCAGATTCCCAAAATAAACTAGCCGTTGATCTTTAATGTGTTCGTTGGAGGAAATGTCCAACCTAGTTTGATCACGGCCAAGATCTTAGATTATGCCCAGAACTTGCTATTTGCTCTGGAAAATGTCCCTCGAGTGAACAGTTCGACATTTTGTAAGAGATAAAATAATTAGGTGAGACCTTGGAATCTTGCCAGCGTAGGCTTTGAAAGATATGCCCAAGGAGTTTACAGACTTTAAGAAGTTCCCAGATTGTTCTGTAGTATTTCACTGGCTGACTCAGTGATTTGCTTGTGCCTTTTTCTGACCAATAATGTGCTTAAATCGATGAATAAAACACGGAATCAGTCATATCACACTGCCCATAGATTACTTTTATGATGTCCAGCTACAGCACCATTAAGAGATGTACCAGTTGGAACCATACAGATTTAATTTTCTCTGTTTTCAATGTTGTGATAGAATATTTACTATTCTATCACAACATTGCCTGTTTTTATTGATGATCAATTATCCAAACAATTATTGTTTTTGTCTAGTTCATTCACACAATTCAGTAAGGGCTGTCCTGGGGAAGGCCATGATGTAAACAAGATATTTTTTTTCCTTTTGTGTAATAGGTTGGAGTTAAAATAAAGGAAGTCAGGTTGAAACCTTTTGAAAAGTTAATTGCTCAGTCCAGGTAGAGGTTGAATCAGAAAAGGGGGTGGGGGAGGGGAGGCAAGGTTCACTCCCTTAGTGACTGAAGTGAAATAAAACTCCTTAAAACAATAAAATCTGACATATATCATACATAAATCAATTGTGCCTAAAAAGGAGTGAAATTTTAAGCTAGAAAACAACAAAATAAACAACCTCTCTCAAACAACACTATCATTAATAACCACTGACACGCAAAAAGAGCTACAAAGTTATCAGTGGTCGAATTCAATGATATTTGTATGTTGCCTAAAAAACATGCTATCTCTTTTGAAAGAAACTTAAAAGTAAAGCATATCTCTTTCACTGACAATTTATTTCAAAATAATAGCAAAACTATGGTTACCTAAGTTTTAGATCTGACAGCAACATCTCACCAGCTGGCAGTCCTCCCTGCTAACATGCTGCTGAGAGTTTGGTTTTACATTGTTGTTTCGTGACCCCCACATCATAGCACCAAAAAAATTATTACATACATGTTAAATGCAGATTGAAAGTTTGCCCCCTTGAAAGCTAATTGGAGTATCAAACAAACTCCATATTGCCTTTTTTTGAAATTCTCTCGAGTTCATGAAGTGAGTTTAAAATCACTGACTGAGACTGAGCTAATTGTGGAATTGAGCATTTAAGGAAACTTCTTTTTGTCGTTCCCTTCTAGTTAGGGCTTAACTCTTAATGTCACATGTACTACCAATATAAATAAAAAGTGAATCATTGGAACTTAATGCTGTACCAGATAGAGGATAAACAGAACAGCTACACTGAGGTATACACTCCTGTCTAGAATGCTGGGTGAATCCAAGGCTGCTTCAGGTGGTTTGGTTAAACCCCTTACACTGAGCTGAAAAACTTCTAAACACATGCATATTTATCTCGTTTTATCTACAATTACCTCCAAAACACAGAAATAACTTTTTTAAGACCTTTATTTCAACATTCTTGGCAGGGGTATTGCCCCTGACCCCAAGTATTGTCCAATTGCTAGACATTTATGCAAACCTCACTTCACTAAGTCCGAGACCACTCTAAGAATGTCAAGTATGAAAAGTGATCTCAAACAGTTTTAACATCTCACACATAAACAAATATATATTTTGTCCTTTTACTGAGATGCAAAAAATGGTCCAATTCAATTAATTCACTACATGAAAAAAACAAAACTATTTATTGGTACTGATTTTAATGCCACCTGATTGTTAATCATTTACAAAACAAAACAAAACAAGACAAAACATAAAAGAGATGATGGAAAATCCTAAAATCTAATATGATAAATTTTCTAAGTATACTAAATATTTTGATGCAAATTTTCATTACTACATTAAGAAACTGACTCTGAATCCTGAGCCTTTTAAGACCAAGTTATGCCCTCTGAGTAAAAGAGAGAAATTTTGAAAATCAATTCTTGCAACCACAGTTTACAGAAACAGCTCTGCAGAGCACTTTACTCCAAAATAACATGCAAGCAAAAAAATTTGCTGCCTTTGTTTTTCCATGTGGATCAGCTTTTTACATTCCTTTTTTTTTGGGTGAAATGAAGTTCCTTACAAAACACTTTTTATAAACAAAATGACAAAATCTAACATGGCAATCAAATTATATATCTTTTTTTTTTTTTTGTTTCTTTTGTTTTTGCAAAACTAAGTTTCCATGAAAATAAGCAAAACAAATGCAAAAAACAAACCTTTTGGTGACCATATGAATAGTTATGAGACAGGCATGTTATTGCAGTCATTTCTTTTTGTACCCCAAGGAAATCTTTTCTTTTAGGTGAAAATAGGTGGGTGCTTAACCTATTAACTCCCAAAAGTGATTAACATTTCACTTCTCCTTACAATATTCACACAGTACCTAGCAAACAGTGATGAGAATTTTGATCTGGATCACATACTAAATTCTTATTACTAATTTACAACAAAAAGTGTAGCAACTGGAGGTGAGAATTAACAATCAGATCTTGAGGGTTTGAGGGTTTAAGGATTGAAGGGATACCAGGCACTTACTTGAGACTTTTTTCCATTTTATTCTCTCAACAAAACATTAGGAGCAATTTCCAAACTTGGCAAGGACTGAAATTTGCATTTGTATGTAAGTTTATCTCTCTTCAACTTTCCAAGAAGATTAAGAATGCATAATGAAAAGAGTCACTACATGACTGCCAAAACCAAGTCACCAAACTGGTAAATTACACTGCTGAACTTTTTTCCCCTCCATTGACCACCAAATGGTTATAGCTCAGAGTGTCGACAGAAGACAGCCTTTTAGAAACAGGGTACTTAATCCAATCAGTACAGCACAAACAGAGTGTAATTCCTTCCCACATGAGATTCAAAGTTATAAGCTATATACAGGTACATGTATCATTAATCCCTCAACTCCCACAAGTGATTAACATGTAACTTATTTCTACAATATTCACACATCTGGTAAACAGGTTATGAGAATACTCAAACTTGTCAGCTTGAGGTTGTTCTCTTGATCTAACACCAAATTCTTGTTACTTATTTACAAGAAATTGTGTAGCAGCTAGAGAAGAGAATTAACAATTAGTTCTTGGGAATTAAAAGGTTAAGAAGTACCCTATCTACTCATATAAAACATAGTTTTAAATTGCTACAAATTACTATCCAAACTAATTTGTCACATTGTACATGTGTATTAAACTCAACTAATGTTGCTAAAAAAAAAAGTCATACTGGCCTATCCATTCCCAAAATTTAATTTTTGGTCTTTGAAATTTCCTCAGAACTACCAGCTTTCTTTCTTAAACATACGTTGTCTGAGGACCACATTGATGGTCTTCTTTATTCGATTGGTGATCTTCTTTATTCCATTGGTGATCTTCTTTATTCCATTGGTGATCTTGTTTATTCCATTGGTGATCTTCTTTATTGCATTGGTCATCTTCTTTATTCGATTGGTCATCTTCTTTATTCGATTGGTGATCTTCTTTATTCCATTGGTGATCTTCTTTATTCCACTCCTCCTCATTGTCTGTGTCTGAAAAGTCATCCTCGACATAATCAGGATTGAGCATCTCGTCAGTTTCTATTGAATCCATAGAGCGACTTTTCTTGTGCTTTGGTTTTACATTAAGTTTCCTTGGCAAAGATGCACTTGTTGATGCAGATGTCATTGGGACTTCTGAAAATGTGACACGAATCTGCAATGGCAAAAGGCTTTGATTTAATTGCTATTAAAGTTAAACCTTACATGTACATGTAATAGTATTAACACTTGGGAAAATGCCAAGTAGTTGAGATATCCACTCAACCAGCAGCTCATGCCACACCAAGACCTGGTAACTACTTCAAATTAGTTATTTTCTCTCCAGCCCCAACAAGGCTACTAAGCCCAGAACAAGCAACAGAAACAGAAACTGTGTGGCAGTGTCACACATCACTAGATAAATATTGTTCTTTGATTCTTCCTTCTCTCTACTTTCTTTTCTTTGTAATCGTGAATGTTTTTTTTTTTTCAAAATTTGTTTTAGATTTAGAAATCACTTGAATTGTGAATAAATTAGTTGAGAGTCTCTAAAAACATAAAGTCTTACATAACCATGTGCCATTAGAGTCAAGGTATACAGCTAAAGGAAAAGCTTACTAAACATGGTTTGTGTTCTTGCTTAGAGAATTTTCTTGGGGTTCCCTGGTTTTCCACCCAACGCCCCAAATTTCAACTGAACCCAGAAATAGTGGACAAAAACTACCTCATGCAAGTGTCACTGCTGCATTCTATTTATTCAACGAATGATCTATTCACCATTCAATATTCCCCCACCTTAAAATCTGATCCAAAAATCCTTTCTCTGGGATCTTTGTGAGCCTTGTCAAGATCTTCCTTTCCAATGTCAAAATACCGTAGTTCAGGATCAAGTTCAAATGTTTGAAGAGTTGGCTCATCTTCAAGGATTTTCTTTGTCCAAGCAGCTTGACTTATGAAGAATGTGTTAAACCAAAACTGGAGAAGTCTTTCCTGCTCAAAACAAATTCACATGCAGATCAGATGTTATAGTGACATCTAAAAGCAATAAAAATATCAATATAGTATGTTGTACACGAATGTGCACATGTATGTGACTGGAGAGAGCTGAATAATGTATACGCATGCGTTAGGTTTCGCTGTGGAAACACGGACTTTGAGTCGTTCGCATGGTTGATTTCCTATTCTGTTGCTTCGAGGCATCGTTTTCCTTGCTGCTTTTCTTTTACAGAACAACCTTCAAAAACTTGGTACACCCCCTAAAAATTTTCAAAAATTAATTTTCTCCTTAAAACCTTTGGAAATAGGAAAGTGCCTTCGACGAAAACAGTTCCTAGGTTTTAAAAGTCAGCCCTTATTATTTTCCACTAATTTCACTAAATTTTAGACCTAGGACTTTTGAGCCTGCATTGTTGGCTGCAACCCTTTCATAATTCAGCTCAGTCATGTGACTGTGGTTTAAATGACATGCATGAGTTACCAGACACTTACATTGTTCTTGCATCTTGGAACATGAATATTCAAAATAAGCACTAAATGCTTGTTTTCACTGGCAATGGCGTTGGGAGTCGGAGTTAGAGTTGTAGTAAGAGTGCTTGCAACCAAGTGAAAACTGAGAAACAGAGTCGCAAGCAGAGCCATAAGCTTGATGGAAAGTGTCAGAAAAAATCCAAATGGTTTTCTACCAATTCTGTATAGGACTCCCGCCGTTATAATCCAATGAAAACTAGATTGTTGGAGTTGCAAGCAGACGCAGAAAAACAAATCATTCACAGTGCCGGTTCTCAGGCCCTTCTGATATAGTCTCCTTCTCGCATCTTCTACAACTCAGTTTTCACTGGATCATACTTGTGACTGTGTCATCAGCAGCAAAGGTATTTTTCTTCCACTTCTAACAGTTTGATTTTCACAAGATCATATCGCTTTGTGCTTATAATTATGATTCTGACTCCATCAAAGTGAAAACCAACATAGAGAGAAAAAAATCATCATAACCACATTTGTTGTGGTTCAGGTTTTCTTTTTCTTGTTTACAATCTTTCAGAAGCTTGAGTTTATTTCCATTTGTTTAATTAAAAAAAAAAGAAAATTAAATAAAACTGCATGGCTTGAAAAGTTAAAAAAAAATCTTCGTACAAGTGGTTTGTGGGCACAAGGTCAAATGCCGAATGAGGCCACTACCTAATGCTGTAGACAGTAACAATGGGTGATATTACAGTAAACCCTGTAAGTTGTATCTCACCTTTTTAAACATTTCTTTATAGAAGAATTCTACCTTGATGTCACCACAAATTGGAATTGGTTGGCTCAGCTCAAACAAAAGTCCATCGGAAGATTTCTTTCTCTTTGAAACAAACATTCCAGCATGAATGACAATGAAGATGACTACCACTGACAATAAAAAGACGATCCATAACAAATAACAACAATAATCAAACATTGATTATGTAAACAGTGTACCACTGATAATGCAAAATGTTGACAGCTAAAAACTGTAAAAAAGTATGCAATATGAGAGCCAGTAGATTTATTGACAGTTTTCCCATGTTTCCCTGAATAACTTAACCCAGTCTCACACGGATGTTCAAGATTACCTAACTGTTGGGCTAGTACCCTCTTATATTTTGGGGTACAAAGAGGTACAGCAAGAGTAAAGAGTCCTACCCAAGAGCACAATTTAATAGCCCAATCCACTTATGCAATAGGGATGATGGCAGATATGATGAAATCTCATTGAACCGAGTGAATGTTCATGGACTTAACGATTTTGACCAATTTAGTCAAATTTGTCATAGTGAAATCAGCTTGGTGCAATTGACAATTTTGACCAATTTCAGTCAAATTCAACAAAGTGAAATCAGCCTGACAAATTTGACAACTTCGACAAAATTTTTGTCAAATCTACCATTTTCGTTGCTGCATGTAATTCTGAAAGTACCTCACCCTATCAGGGATAGAACTTTGACCAAAGCAAATTTGGCATATTTTCATCCCCTTGCTGTTCATGATTAGCAAAACAGTAGGAATTAAAAGTACAGTGATTAACCACTCAAAGGAACCATACCTCAGTAACTTTAGACTGATAAAGCTTCACCTTCTGTTGCCAAACGATGTAAAATGGATCTGAAAGCAGCCCAAGATATTACATTAAAGGTAGATTTGATTCCTTTAAAAGAAGATCAGAGTCCAATCAATTGGACTTAGGAGAAAAGTACTTCACATGGATTTGTCCATTCTGTTTGAAGAATTCAAAAATATTCTTATTATCAAATTCAAGTGTGCAACCTGCTTCACATTCCCAGTGTGTACCTTGGTGATGAGTATCTACACATTGGTACCCATCAATGGAAATTTCACTTCAGACAAGATTTAAATTACTGCATGTCAAACATTGTAAAACAGTTGGTTCATCTGTAAGCTGTGCTTTCATGAAGATAAAAAGCACCTAGGGCGTTTAGAGAACACTGTAGAAGCCGGGGTTGCTCTTGGCTGCACTTACATTAAGCAATCCTTACAAATCTTTGGTGCACTATAAACTTTGAGTGTGCTTTAGTCAAAACACCTTAACCCTTTAACTTCCAGAAGTGATTGACATGTACCTTCTCCCTATAATATTCGTACAAACAACCCAGCAAACAGGTAATGAGAACACTCAAACTTCTCAGGAAGAACTTGCCATCTTGATCTAACACCATATTCTTGCAAATAATTTACAAGGAAATGCATGGCAGCTCAAGGGGAGATTTAACAACCAGATTTTGCAACTTAAGGGTTAACATCACTGCCTGGGTCAGACAAATATAGCGGTGTCGATGTCGAATAACAACAGAACAGCTCATTAACCCAACGAATTTAATGACGGCGAAGAATTTCAATGTTTACAAAACCATCTGGTCGCCCTTTCATCATAAATTACGAGACTCAGGGAGCCGTAAAAACCACATGATGAAAGGCAGTAAATAAAGGAAAAGAAACAGTTTCACGTATCTAAATCGTTTTCAAGCGCTTCATCACGTGCGAAGAAAAAAAGGGCAGAGAAAAAAAAATTACTACTGAATGATTGTGGTATACGTGACATACAAAAAAATGAGGAACGGAACGGACTAACATAAAACCTTGTTGAGGAATAGCCTCAACAATCACTTTGAAGGTAATTTATATTTATCATTATTCCATTTAGTCCTAGATCACTTACTGAAGGTGAAGTTTTGGAATGTATGCTCAGAAAGCAACTCAATTTTCTTCAATAACACCATTGTGCGAACGTATTGTAGTTTATGTGTTAGAAGATGATTGTAGTACCGGACGTATCTCCTTTGACTTGGAATTGTGACACCTTTTTTATTTCTTGTTCTTGCTTCTCCATAATGCTTCAGTGCCTCTTTGGTTTTCCAAAAATGGCCATTGTGAAGCAAATATGCACATATCATAACTCCTGTCCGACCCTTCAAAGAAAGCGTAAAGAACAAATGATGCAGACGATGAATAAAGCTCACTTATAACCTGTAAACTAGGGCCCAAGCACAAGCAACTGCAGAGTTGCTAAAATGATGAAACCATCCTTGCAGTGACTTTTAACAACTTAACCTCTTTCAAGACAAATTAAGAACTTTGACAAGTTTCATTGCTTGCCACCTTTGATCTTTTTATGCACAGTTCCATTTCAAGGATAATTTCATTATTGAATGTCATTTCCAGTGTTGATATGAATTATCATTTAATTGTAATTTTATCCCATCTCTGATACCAAACACATACATGTATATGCAAGCCCCGTTTGACATTCTCCCTTCTCATAGCTAATGCTGTAAGTTCATTTAGACCATCCTAATGACATTGCAAAGCCAAAGTTTAAAAGCCTGTTGAGGTTCTCGATTTTAATTACAGTAAGCTTCTTGCAGTATCCATAATAACATAAGCCACATAATAACACTAAAAGGATATTCCATTTTTCATTTTAAAAGGGTATGCATGAAGAAGGCTTGACAGAATTAAAGAAAAACATTTTTTGTGTGTGTGTTGTCACAAGCATTGATCAAAGAAAACATTCCCATTTCCCATGAGGAGTTGAACCTCACCCTTTGGAGACAATACCACTGAGCCACAGAGGCTCAAGTGGGGCCATTATAAGGTTTCTACCAAAAAAATGATTGGCTCTCATAGTCTTTTCCCTCATGAGCAACAGAGGTTCAATTAGAGGGATATATGCTGTTTACCTTGCCAGCTTTGCAGTGAATAAAAGCCACATTCTGCTCACTTTCATTCAGAAAAAGATCCACATCCTCACAAAATGGCTTAATCAGCTCAAATGGAGGTGCATTGTGGTCATCAAATGGATAGGTGGCAACTAAAGAAAATAAACCATATCACTGTACCACACAGCCTATTTTTTTTTTTACTTTTTTACATACGAGCACAGTAATATAAAAAGAATAAGAAAATAGCCTTTTAGATTTTCACCAACAGAGGAAAATGCTTATTTGATTTCTGACACACAAGAAACATTCAAAGTACCAGTAGTGTGTTATTGTGGAAATATTAAACATTTCATTTATTTCTCAAGGTTTTGCAAATGTTCTTCAGCTTTTCTTAATACAACACAAACATGAGATAAAAACTATGGAAATGGCAAGCTTTAATTTAAAATGTAGGTAGTATTATTCTCTTACACAATGATTTTTGGCCTTTCAAGTAACCAGTCCTGCAGCTGGCTTGTTCAATGCTCACCAAAATTTACATAATGGTTTTTCGTCTTTCCACTAGCCAGCCCTGTGGCTGGCTTGTTCAATGCTTACCTATGTATAGGTTTTTGTAATGTTTTGTACATCATGGCACAGATGTAACCTAATATTTTGGATTAACTGGTGCCAAAACAGCTGCCAACCCTCATCTTGTTAATACCCAGGTCTCCTGACCAAAAACCACACAGACTAACAGTAATAAGCTGATATACCTCTGTTGTTAAACTTGGCAGGATCATACTGTCTTTCAGAACATCTGCAAGCACATTGAGAAAAAACAGGAATTGCATTAATTGTAAACTTTGATGGTGATCCAGGGGTTCCAATTAAAGCAAGTTACAACCAGTCTTTTGCTTTTTATCTGACCTTACTAGAGACTTCTCATGGCCATCAGATTATATGTAGATCTTACCTAGGTGATCTTTATATGATCCCTCTCTGAGTCACAACTACGGCTACCACTATACACAGCCACTTTAAGAAAAACTTACATCAGGGTTTATGGCATTATGCGTGAAAAAAAAATCAAAATTATGTGGGGTTTGTAGGGAAGATTATGCGGGAAGATTAGGCCCAAAATTATGCGCAATGACGTTGCTAAAAACCTAAAATATAACTAATTTCGCTTAGAAAACTCAGTAATTGTTTCTTTTTATAAAAAAATGGAATATTATGCATTATTGACAAATCCCTCCTTCCAATAAAAGCAATAATATGGCCAAAACAGAAAGCAATTCTTGTCAATGTCCACCATCTTGGAAACTGCCAAACGCTGGAACCTGGGCCGAGCTTCATATCGGTTCCAGGCCCTCATCCAACATTTTTAGTAACGCCTTGTCGTTTTTATAAAAACAAAATGGCTTCGTATCCATGTGGTTGTTTTGTTCAATTAAAACGATACTTTGGTATTTTGTACGACTGTAGAAAAAGGATAAATACAATACTCAAGCCAGACACCAAGATAGATAACATATATATTGATTAATTTGACAAATTATGTGGGATCATGTGGAGAATGGCTGATTATGCGGGTCTGCACCAGCGCATAATGCCAGAATCCCTGTTACATGTATTGTAACTCCTGGATAATCTCTTTGTGCATCTATTTTTATATCATTAACAAATCCAACAAATAAAACAAATATCCTGGGCATGATTTAGGATTTACTCAAAATTAGACTTGCTTGATTGTTACACGACTTAGCCAACTCAAAGAGACCTAACAGGACTGTTTCATTCCAAATTATACAACAGTACTTGTCAGAGCAAATTCTTTCCCTTAATCATTTTTATTAATGCATTTATAAAGTGCACCCAGTCAATAAGTCAATCCTCAAATTGCATAGGCTAGCTACTACAAATTAAATGTTTGCATTACTTACAAATTGTAAACCTTATAGTGATCTTTATGCCTTGTTTCTAGAAATCTGTCGACAGAAAAGTAAACAAGTAATATGTGTATATCTGCAACATCAAAACCTAGAAAAACTCTGCTTTAAATTCTGAAGAACCCCTGGCTGTGTGATATTTATTTTTAAACTAATCTACACTGTAAACCGGAATCAGAATATTTTGTTCAAGGTCATGACACATGAAATGCATACAGCACAGTCTAAGCATTCTGATCAAGAGCAAACATTTTCCAGTCCAGCTGACCTAACTCAGTTACAAGAGACTTTAACATGTGACTGCAACTATTCTTTTCTTCTTGTAATTTGCATCTCATAGGACCATACACAGGGCCATACACAGGGCCATAAACAAGGCCATACACAGGGCCATACACAGGGCCATACACAGGGCCATACACAGGGTCATAAACAAGGCCATACACAGGGCCATACACAGGGCCATAAACAAGGCCATACACAGGGCCATACACAGGG